CACCCACACACACACACACACACACACACACGCATGCACACACACGGCCCACAGACCCCGCCTCACCTGCAGGATGATGACGACGATGGAGGCCAGGATGAGGCCGAGGTTGATGGACCACTGGAGGGTGGTCACCATGCGGCCGCGGATGGAGGGCGCGGCCAGCTCCGAGATGTACACCACCGCAGCACCAAAGTCGCCGGCGAAGGAGAGGCCCTGGGAGGTTTGATTTTGGATGATACAATGTCATGTTTGCAGTCTCACCTCTTGCATTGCAGTATCGATATGGCATGCAAGCCAGGGGGACAAAGGGGGGAGGGGTTGGCGTATAAAATGCGATTGCTTGGCCGCAAGAAGGGGCAGGCATGTGGCCATGCGGGGCTAGGGTGATTGAGAGCGCAGCAAACTGCTGTTTGGTATATCGCATGCGCGACCGGCACCGCGCCGTGGAGCTGCGCCGTCCGGCAAAGGATCGACAGCCTTCCAGCGGCGCGGGCGGCGGCTGAGGGCAGGGGTAGGAAGGAGGCCCCTGCCTAACCCCACACCCTGGCCGCGGGCAGGGCCGAAACGCCCCCCCACTCCCGCACCATGCGCCAGCCCGGGGCCGAAGCGCACCGTCCCCGCCAGCGAACAAAACCCGCCCCAATCACAGGGTCCGCTGTCCCCCCCCCCTTCCTTTTCACCTGGAAGAAGCGGAGGATGGCCAGGAGCACCGGCGCCGCGATTCCGGCCCTGTAGCTCCCAGTATCAAAGGTCGGCAGGATGCCTGCGGGGGCAGCACCAGATGTGAGCAGCAGGGCGCGCCGGGCAGGCGTCCGTCGGCGCAAGCGGCCAGAGGGGGCGCTCGCCCCCTCAGCGCCAAACTGGCTGAGTCTGGTGGGTCTGTGGGGAAAGCAAGGGGCCCAGCCTGCAGCGGGACCGCAGGGGCGCCTGAGGAGCTGGGGCCGCCCCTGAGAAATTACAAGGTGCATCGCTGGACGCGCACGGCCGCGCGCCCCAGCCTGAAACGCTTTTTCATGCGGGCTCGACCGCCATCCTACCGGCTCAACAGGCACTCGCCTGGCGTCCGTGCCGGCGCGACCCGCACACCTCCCCCCCCCCCCCACACACACACGAATGCACAAAATTACTGCGCGCACAGGTCGTGCGCCCCGCTCATGCCGAGGTCGCCAGCGGCGTGCAATATTGCTCCCTTTATCTACTATTCGAGCAGGGCGCTGCTGATGGGGGTTGGGGGTGGCGCACCGATGATGAGCGTCGACACAGCCATCACGCCGATCGCGATTGAGAAGGTCCATCGGCGCCCGTACTTGTCACCGATGTGGCCTAGGGAGCGCGACAACACGGCGAAGGCCGGGCAAGCGGGAGGGGCGGTTTCACGGGGGCGAGTGGGAGGAATGGTGCGGCGAGGACGCTGGGGGGACCAAGGGCGGCACAAAGCAGGAAGCGGGTGGTTGGAGCTCATCATTTGCCCGGCCTTACCGAAGAGGAGGGCACCGATGGGGCGGGCCACGAACGCGACGGCAAACACGCCCCAGTATGACAGGACCGAGATGTTGGGGTCGGTGGAGGGGAAGAAGACCTGCGGGAGTGGAGAGGATGGGGAGCCTGATCAGTGATGGCATCAACGTGCTGGTTGGCCAACCTCGAGTATGATTCTAGGGAGCAGGGTGAGGTGCGCGGGGGCCAGGGCCCATGGCGGCTGTCAGGATTACGATATTGTGGCACCCATCCCTGGTTCCTGGAATCCACATCATGGCTTGCCACCCCATAGGCAGGCACCAGCACGCATGAGCCCGAAATGGGAGTGTTGCTGTTTGTGCGTCCTTGCTGCAACCGCCACAGCCCAGCACCTCGCCGCCACTCCCTGCCCCACGGCAGCCGCCGCCCCTTTCCCCGGCTCGCCTTGCCCAGGACCGCGGACAGCTGGGAGTAGCAGTAGAAGCTGCGGGGCGATTGCACAAGGGTGAGTGGCGGCCAGCATGCGTCAATGTGGTGCTTCAAACAAGACTGCTTGATGGGGCGCCGGCAGCGGAGCAGCCGCCGCCGCCAGGTGTGCTTGGTGCGCGCGTGGTGTCATGTTTTGGGTCGAAACCAGGCGAGCGAGGGCATGCAGGGGCCCCAGGCGCCGGCAGTGCGAGGCATCGCTCACTCATAATACTCCAGGACTGTCCCAATGCCTGGCGTTGTCAGTGGGTTGGGGCGGGGCAGCGGCGGCGCAGCGGGAGCTGTGAGGCGGGGTGCCGCATATATCACCTGGGCCCACAGCGCCGTCAAAGCGTCGCGCACGGCCCCCAATCGCACGTATTTTATGCGCCCTGTAGCGGACCTGCAATCCAGACTACGGTCTGCCACTGGTTCTCGGTCAGAGTCTTGGGCTTGACTATGTCGATGAGCCCCATTGCGGCGGGCGCGTGCCTCCGTCGGCGCAGAGGCTAACGGATTTTGATGGCGGGGGGAAACGCACGTCTTTGGAAGGGACGGCTCTGGTTTTGATCGACTTGTCCGAATATTCCGCGTCCAGAACGTGTCCGGACAAACGCGCTGGACGGGCCAGAGGTGGAATGATGTGAGGGCGAAGTGCGTGGGTGACGACCAACGCTATCTGCCGTGAGGGCTGACTCGGAGCTGGAGACCCGACTTCATGGAAACAAGACTGCAGTTATATTATGATGTTATTTGGGTAGTGATTATTACGGCTGGAAGTTCGCCTGACGCCTCCGCTGACTTCGGGAATGCACAACTAACACTCTAACTCGTTGACTCATCAAACTGCACTGACCAACTTGCATGCTGCTCTGACAAGTAGGATGTCAACTCAACAGAGAACAAGTAAGCACAGGTGTTTACACAAGTATCCAGGGCTGTGGTTGACCGATGGAGGGTGTTCAAGACTGCACAGGTCCTCACAGACAGCAGGCATGGCTGGCGTGCAGGCTCAGTGGCTCAACCTTGCGGGGTCCCGCCACGGAATCGTGACAGCTTGCGGTGTGTTGCGAGCAACAACTTCCAATGAGTAGTGTCCAATGCCTAGTGCGCAGACACCATGCCAGGACAGCGCCTGCCCCCCCAGCAATCGCATGGGGTTTCCGGGCAGGGAACAGCCGGCTGGCGTGACGCCCTGAGGGATGGTTGGTCACAGAAGTGAGTGCAAGAAGTGGACAAGGTGCACACCCACGCCAGCAGTTGGCCGCCGAACGCAAAAGTGCATGCGCGCGCAATGGCTCCATCCCGTCGCAGCCGCAGACGGTCTGCCGCTCGCAGCCCCTGAATCCCGCTGAAATTGCCGTGCATCAGCGCGTCCGAGCGCTGGATAGATTTGTTTCGAGGCGCGTGTGTGTGGAGACTGGTTTGTCGAGGACGTTCTGAAATATGCAGGGATGTGCGAGCAGCGCCTCTGGGCAATGCTGCAGGCAATAAAGCACGAAAACGCTCAGTGCAAAACTGGTTTGGACGGCCGCGAACACTTCATGCTAAATGCGACGCGCGTGCACGCCCCCGGTGGCGCAGCGTGTCATGGCCCTTGAGGGGTGTGCATCTGCCGGAGTGCGGCGGCCGGCCAGCGGCCAGGCGGCACTCTTAACGGACGCGGCTGATGTAGGGCTTATCCAGGCGAGGGAGGTACAGCTTGAGCAGGACAATGCCGATGACGGAGCCGCCGGACAGCAGCAGCAGCCCTGCAAAGGGGTCGCGTAGAGGGCACACATGGGTGAGAATACAGCTTTGACTTGTGCCAACAGCTGGTAGCGTCGGCGTGCACGGCACACGCAAGTGCTGGCATAGCCAGCGCATACACAGACGATGGAAGATCACGTTTCTCTCGGCTTGCGGCCGATCAAGGCGGGGTGGTACACTCCTGGTTCACAACAGTGTGTATATGCCTGCTGCAGTGACCCATTTTGGACACACATGCAGTCGGTGCGAGCCGCGCCATGCATCAAACCAGACACCAGCTGAAATGAGACTCACAGAAAGCGGGCGCGAAAGAGGCGGCGTCAGCGCCGAGCTTGGCCTTGAACGCAGTGACAACCAGAGGGGAGATGCCACCCAGGATGCCGTAGCCCGTGGCGTAGGCAAAGCTGAAGCCGGTGGTGCGCTCCAGAGGGTGGTAGATCCTGCGCCGAGGTCGCGATGGTGTAAAGGGTCAGGACTAGCAAGACAGCGGACATATGCACTGTTGCTGCAGCCGAGGAGGCTCATGTAACTTTCTAGCTGCTGAGGTTCCTGGGATCTCTGTTGAGCCGCGCGGCACGGCCCGAATTTTGTCCCGTGTAGGATGTAACTAGTTGACCGCACTGAACCCCTACTGTTCATTAGCCGTCCGGCCATCTTAGTGCGGCGGCGTGAGACGGCTGCGATGCACAAGAGCCCCACCTAGTCATGGGCAGGACGTAGAGGGCCATGTAGAAGCCGACAACCAGGTGGAGGAGGGAGGGCGCAACCCACAGGGCCGCCAGGGAGCCGGTGCCGACCTTTGGGGGGAGGGGGTGTATGCGTGGGCGCAGGTGTTGCAGACAGAGGAAGAGCCCAGGCTTTGGGCAACAAGATTGCGCACTGAGGAGGACCACTCTGCAAACCTTGGGAAGCCATTTTGTGCCGTGGCAGCACACGCAATGGAGCCGCAACAATATATTGGGGTGGTGCTGTTTTGCTGTGCAGGAGCTCTCACCCAGTAGTAGAGGCCAAAGCCGGAGCCAACGCCAAGGATGAGAGTGCCCGCAGCCGCAGTGATGGCGGGCATGCCGTGGTCAAAGCCTGCGTCAGGATAGGATGGAGAGGACGGCCCATGTTGATCACAAGCTCGCGGGCGTTCTGGCTGCGTACCCGCATTCCAGCTTTGCCCCGTGTTGCCTTGTGCAATACAAGGTGCTCAAGCCAATGGTCTCCCCAAGCTCGGCCGAGGCCCGTCCGATGTTGTGCACCCACCGTAGCCGGCCAGGCTCAGGCCAACGGTGTTGAAGATGAGGGAGACGATGGTAATGGCCAGGGCGACGTTGGGGTGCAGCTTGTAGGTGTTGATCAGCTGGCCACTCAGCCAGGTGACGGCGACGAAGAACGCACCTGCGGTGACAAGAGAGGTGCAATTAGATCACAGGTAAATTTTGTTTAGGGGGTTCACATACATGTGGTGTCCACCCACCAGTCACTGCATGAGTGCTGGATGTCAGGACCCATCATTCGGTTGCCGCATGCAATGAGGTGCCCACAGGGCAAAGAGTCGGGACAGACAGTCATGACAGGCGTGTGGCAAGGCTGCATGTTTTGGCAGCCAAGCTAAGCTGGCGGGGCCGAACTCCAGCCCCCAGGGCCCTTCCGGGATGTATGTCACTCATGCGGCGCCGTCTCGCAGTGTGCCTCACCGTTGACCCAGGCGCCGAAGAAAATGTTGGCGGTGAGACCGAAAGCGTTGTTCCTGAGCAGGCGGAAGACGGGCACGCTGGAGCGGCTGTGGCCGTGCAGCACGGCGAGCACGCCCTTCTGCTTTGCCTCGACCTCCTCCTCAGCGTCGGCCTGGCTGGTGCTGGCCTGGCTGGCAGCGTCATCCAGGTTCTGGGGGCACAGGATGTGTTGCGTCAGGAGGGGGGAAGATGAAGCGCGAGCAGACAGCAGTGAGGCGGATAGGCGGATATGCATGTATGCAGAGCTCTGGCAACTCAAAACACGTCGCCCAAATGTGCTGCCCCACCCTTGGGGTGTGACGCCTTGGCAGACAGAGAGGCACCGGACGCCCCAGATCGCTGATCACCAACCTTGGTCGCGGCCTTGTCGCTGATCTCCAGCTTGGCGTCGGGCTCCCCGGCCTCGCCGCCCTCAGCGGCGCGGTCCTTGGCGTAGGCCTCCAGGAAGGTGGTGGGCTCGGGCATGCCGCGGCGCATGAAGTAGCCGAGGACGGCGGAGAAGGCGGCGAGCAGGAAGGGGATGCGCCAGCCCCACTCAAACATCTGGGCCTGGGTGAGGGCAGCCTGTAGGGGTGATGGAGGCAGGTGCAAAGCGTGAGAGTTGGCCGGGCATGTTTGGGTCATGCAAGTGCGTACAAAATGGGTGGAGTTGACAGGCAGGACAGCAGTTCGTTCGTGCCACCACAGGCCTCTGGGGTGCGAGTCAGCAGCACGAGTGAGTGATTTTGCAGGCTCAATTGAGAATAGACACCAGGCTACACACTCACACAGACACACGTGAAATCGAGATTGCTTGGGAGTGTTGTTTGATTGCAAAAAAAATTCAATCTTCACAGGTGGGGCTCACTCGCATCTAGTTGTCCCCGCCCTGCAGGCCAATGCAAGCCCTGTTGTGGCTCCTAGCTTCAGCAGTGAATGCTGTTGCCCCACAGCCATTATTCATTCTGTGAAACACACACACACACACATGCACTCACACACACACACACACTCTCTCTCACACCGACCCCGCCGCACCTGCAGGATGATGACGACAATCGAGGCGAGGATGAGGCCGAGGTTGATGGACCACTGGAGGGTGGTCACCATGCGGCCACGGATGGAGGGCGCGGCCAGCTCCGAGATGTACACCACCGCGGCACCAAAGTCGCCGGCGAAGGAGATGCCCTGAGAGAGCAGATTGATGTAGCACACAGCGATGTTGTGGATGCAGGCCAACAAGAAATGGCAACCGAACAGGCACCTCCAGGCCTCGAGCTGGGCCAGCATGTTCGCATACAGAACCAAAAAGATGACGCACATCGGCCAACTGCGACGACTCGTCCAACTGCAATGACTCGTCCGTGTGCACCAGCGCAGGCGCGCCGGCAGCCCCCTTGCACCCTGGCAGCTTTGCCAGCATTTTCCTCGCACCTGGAAGAAGCGGAGGATGGCCAGGAGCACTGGCGCTGCGACGCCCGCCTTGTATGGTCCGATGTCATAGGTTGGCAGGATGCCTGCGGGCAAGGAGGAGCGCCATTGGCCGGTTTCGAGGTGTGCCGGTGCCCACCCCAGGAGCGCATGCGCACAGGCCGTCGTTGCTCGTCACAGGCATTGCTGTCGTCCCCAGCGCTGGCAGAGACAGGGTGCTATGCGCCGCGACCCCCTCCTTCCCCGTGCCATTGGGGTGCCGAAGCTTTGGGCTTGGTCAAGGTCACGCACCAATGATCAGGGTGGAAACGGCCATGACGATGATTGCAATCGAGAAGGTCCAACTGCGCCCATACTTGTCACCAATGTGGCCTGGATTACGAGCGCAACACACAAAGCAGTGGGTCAAGTGGGGGGCTGACTAATGACCCGGCAAGGGGTCACAGAAGAAGCATATACTTTGCTGTGACACATGCGGCAGCGGCAATATCAGGAAATCCCGGCCGGTGAAAGCTTCAATGCTCCTGGCCCTCACCGAAGATGAGGGCGCCGATGGGGCGGGCCACGAACGCGACGGCAAACACGCCCCAGTATGAGAGGGCGGAGATGTTGGGGTCGTTGGACGGGAAGAAGACCTGTGGGGGTGGTGAAGAGGGGCCAAGGGCAATCCCAGAGGCGGTCAGCCCCTCCAGCCACCGGTGCAGGGTTCAAGAAAACAAGCTTGTGGCTGTCCAGGGTGTCACCCACCACCCCTCACTGTCATCATCGTGCCACAGCCCATCAAGCCTGAAGAGACCTCCCCAGACCAGACACACCAAGGCCGAGCCACACAGGACCACAGGCCGGCATCCAATAGCCCCCAGGCCAGCTTGCTGTATCCCTGCGGCTCCCGCCCCGCCCTGCCTGTCCGCGCCACTCGCCTTGCCCAGGACCGCCGACAGCTGGGAGTAGCAGTAGAAGCTGCGGGGCGATTGCGCAGGGGTGGGTGGCGGGTCGGCATACGTCAATGCAGCACTCCAAGCACTTCTGCTGGATGGGTGGCAGCGGATCGAGCGCAGGCTGCCGATGCGCGCGGCGCACGCTTGATGTCATGGCTATGTGGACTGGCAGCGCTGCGGGTCGGCACCCGGCACTAGCACTGCTGTACGGCCTGCTCAGCCCCAGGTGACACCACCAAAACTGCTGCTCACTCATAGTACTCCAGGACCGTCCCAATGCCTGGAGTTAGAGTGGGTTGGGGCGGGGCAGCAGCGGCGCAGCGGGGGCTGTGAGCCCGCGCGGAGCGGCACACCGCGCGGGTGCAGGCCGCACCCTGCCACACAGCTGCGATGCTCAGCCACCCGCCCTGCACATGCTTCGTTTGTCCCGTCACAAACCTGCAATCCAGACGACGGTCTGCCATTGCTTGTCAGTCAGGTTCTTGGGCTTGACCTTGTCAACGAGCCCCATTGCGGCGGGAGCGTGACTGACTCGGCACAGCGGCGGGGTTTGACAATAGGGCAACACGCGCCTTGTGAAAGGACTGCGCGGGTTCGGATCACTTGTCCGAATAATATCGCAGGCAGAGTTTCCGGACAAAGTCCCGGACCGGCCAGGGGTAGAATGATGTGAGGGCGGGTGCGTGGGTGACGACCAACGCTATCTGCCGTGAGGGCCGAGTTGGAGCCGGGGACCCGACCTGTCCGAAAACAATGCGCGTACATAATGCGACGGAAACAACAGCAGCGCGCAGGCGCTCCGGGGGTCGCGTTCATGTGAGGGCGGGCGCGGCGAGGCCATCGCCTCACCCCAGACCACCCTGGCACAGTCAAGCGGAGCCATGCATCAGCTGGGGATGACTCTCAGGCACAGGCTGTGTAAGTGTAGGGTGAATGGCAACGGCGATATCTTGCAGGGACTGCAGGACATGCTGCATGCCCCCAGCACCCTCACAGCATACATGATGCAAACCGGCCCCAACACCGACCGTTTTAAACTTGCAGCGGCCTGCCCGCCACCGTCTTTGCAACCACCCCTAAACATCGTCTGCACCGTGCGGTGCCTCTCTACACCTGAGGGTCTGATTATGGACAGTCATTGCAGTAAAAAGCGGCTGCGGTCGACGCCGGCGCAACAGCGCGCTGGTGGCCGCGCTTGGGGCCTGGCTCGATATGTGGTATCTCTTGAACTGATCTGTGCTCTTCCGGCTGCAGCACAGGTGGCCTGGATACCCCTTTGGCCTCATCCCCCCAAAACATTGCACGGCTGGCTGCCTGCAACCAACCCCCTGTGCTAGGGCTTGCCGAGGACCTCGAAACCCTAACTCAGGGGTTTGCAAGCAGCCAGCCGATGGCAGGTTCCAGAGTACAGTAGAGTGGACCGAGAGCTGGACAGCCAGTTGGTTCTTGGGGCGAGCGCAACGTGCAGGGCAGCTCCCCGTTCCCCAGCTGCTCCCCCCCCCCGCCCCCCATTCCCCGCCGTTTGAGGGGCTCTCAGGTGACGCCCTCAGGTGACCGCCTTGTGTTGCCCATTGCGGTGTCGCCTCGCGCAAGCCTTTTGTCAGTGACACAGGACGGACAGCGTTGGGATCCTTGCGGCTGTGCGTGCAACACCCTGAGAGGGTTGTTCTGGCCGCCACCTGGCCCTTGCCGCTGTGTGTGCGCCTGGCCGGCAATGCTTGCTCCCTTGTCATGTATGTGCTCGGCGCTGATCACTTGGAGGGTGTAGCACAGAGCACTGCCAGGCAGGTTGCGGCGCACGAGGGCGAGACCCGTGTGGGCAGCGTGGCACGACACAGCATGGCAGTTTCCATCCCAAGGTTGTTGAACATGTGTGCGACAGCTGATAGGGCAGAGCCCAGTTGCGAAGGCACGCCTGCAGAGAACCTGAATCAACCCGCATGGACCACACAGAAGGCCAACGGCCCTGCGTTCGCACGTTCAGTTACATTCCCCCCTTGTCCGGGATGGGCCCATGAATTCAGGGTCACCAGGATTGTACGGCGTTGCCGATCATTAGGTTGCGGTGGCATGGCAGGCACGTCAGAAATTTGCAAAACAATTTTGGTGTTCCAGCGCCCTTTCGATGCCATGTACTGCTCTATTCTCCGCTGCGGTAACTGCTGACGACGGCGCTCGATCTAACCAACTAAGCACGAATGAGTCGACGCTGAACCCTTTGAATAGTCATCTTTGGTACTTGCAGCGCCTGGCTTTCGTTGCGCGTCCAAAATGGGAAGCCAGGTACTAAGACCGATCTAGCGCAGAATAGCTTGCAAAGGCAACAATGGCTAGCGGAGATGCTGCGACTATGGCAGGGGATGCAGCCGCGGCCGTCCAGGTCACGGCCGCCGATTTGGAGGTGAGGCAGGCAGGCAGCAATGCGTTGCGCCTCGCTGCATGCGGCGCAGATGCCGCAGCGCTGAACACGTCACGCAAAAGTGCCGCTGCAGCACCCATCTTTTTAGTAAGACAGGCCTCAATTCATCAACAGACAATGGGGCCTAATCGGCAGCGCCCCCTGTCGAATTTGAACATTAATCGACAGCCATAGCCGGTGCTTGCGCCTGCAACCGCCTTGCTGTGCAGGCCGCCACACAAGAGTTGGAAGCCCTGCGGGAGCAACTGGAGACGCAGCGGCGCCTGGCGGAGGCCAACCTCAACCCCAAGCGCCCGGGTGAGGGCCGAAAGGCGCAGATGGGCGGCGGCGGCGGCAACTGCGCCCACGACTCACGCTTTGCGGCAGCACCCAGGGGGCGCGCGAGGGGCCCGTGGCGCGAGCGGCCGCCTCGACGCCGGCCGCGTGCCGGGCCGCGCGCCGGCAACGCACGCCCTTGAAACAGACGGCAGGACCGCAGCTAAGAAAGGGAGGGGATGCCGCGGCCTTTGCTGCAGCAACAACAAGAGGATGCCCCGTCAAGGGGTGCCGGGGCCCCTGCCGACGCAACCAGGTCTCTGTGCCTCTCTGCTAAGTTGAGGTGGTCTGACACAGTCTGACCGCGCGCCCGCGCAACATATGCATTCTCTCATGGCACATGACAGACGAGCCCGAGCTGTCGCGGCGGGACAGCAGCATCAAGAAGAACGCGGCGATGACTAAGAAGCTGCGGGCCGTCAGTGAGGAAGCTAGGGCGCAGCTGCTGGCCGAAGTCGGGCGCATCAACATGAGTAAGGTGAGGGGGGCGAGGTGGGGCGGTGTGTGAATGTGTATGTTAAGTTTGCGCGCGCGCGTGTGTGTGTGTGGGGGGGGACCAAGACACAGAAAGAGATGCACAGATGAGACAGATGTGCAGACAGAGAGAGAGAGAGAGAGAGAGAGAGAGAGAGAGAGAGAGAGAGAGAGAGAGAGAGAGAGAGATAGTCTGTGTGAGTCTGTCACTATACAGCTGCTAGTGACGGCCGGGCGGCGTGGACGGGAGGCGCCCCCACTCTCAAAACGAACACCCCTCCCTGCCACCCGCTTGAAAAGCCTGTCACCCTCTTACCCACAAACACCAAGCCGCCCCTGAACCAGCAGTCCACAGCACATCGCCCGCTCAGTCACACCCATTCGCATCGACACCCCCCATCTCCCCCCCCAAAATCCCACTAGTACGTGAGCGAGGCCGTCGCTGCCCTGTCGGAGGCGCCCCCCTCCCGCGCCAACGACGCGGCCGCTGCCGTCCAGGTCGCATCCGCGCTGCACCAGACGTACCCCGAGTTCGGCGCCGCGCTGGGGGCGGCGCTCGCAAAGGCGGCCGGGGCCCGGCAGGCGGGAGGTGAGGTGGCCGCCCCCTCCCCCTGCGCCGCCACCTTCGCATGTCAAAAGGCGGCGCCGCCGCGTCGAGGCCGTGTCTGTGCGTGTGTGCTGTGTGTGCCTCATGCATGTTTTGTGTACTGGATGTTGTGTTTCGGGGTGCGCGCGGCGCGTACGATGCCGGGAAGCTTCCCACCCACCCTTCATTCTGCGACGCGGCAGATCTCCAGACCTCCAGATCTCCAGATCTGCCGCGACTATGCGGGCCCGACCACGCCCCGCACTTTTTCGTGCCTCTCGCCAATACCCCGCGCCCCTCCGACTTTCCCCAGAGGACGAGCGCACGGCCCTGAAGCGCCAGCGCGCGGCGCTGCGTCTCCTGGGGGAGCTGCAGGCGGCGCGCGTGGTGGTGGACGCGGCGCCGCTGCTGGGGGTTGTGCGGGACCTGGTGGGTCCGCCTGGGGCCCGCGGGTCCGCCAAGGGTTGGTGATTCTGAAGTGACACCATTGGATCTGTATGGGATAGGGGCGAGATATTCGAAACTATCGCACACGAAGGGCGGTGTGGCGGGTTGCTTGGGGCCGCGCCTCCCATTTGTGCATCGCGCCTTGCTTTGTGGGGTGAGGTGGGGTCTGGCACCGGGGCAGTGTCCGGGTCGCGGGCCCGCGTGGGTCGCTGCCGCAGCGGCCGCCAGGCGCGCGGCCTAGGCGCGCAGGGGCCCGCGGCGCCGCCCCGCCGCGCCCGCTTGCGTGTCCCCCACCCCCTGGCCCGCCTGTGGGACAAATGGGCGTGCGCCCGCCCGCTTGCGGCGACGCGGCTTGCAAATCGGCCGCGGTATCCGCTTTTCGGCCTGGGCTGACCGGCAGTTTCTCCCTCCCTCTCTTCCTCTCCACTCGTATTGCTCGAAACCCACTCTTCACTTGTTTCTCAGGCGGTGGCTGATTTTAAAAAAGACAGGGACGCGGCCGTCGCCGCCGCCTCCCTCCTCGGCGCCTTCGCCAAGGCGACCGCCCAGCAGCTGCTCGGCGCGCCGCCCGACGCGCCCCCCGCGGCGGCGGCGGCGCTGGCGCGGCTCGGGCCAGAGGG